ATTCGAAGATGAAAGAGTAGATAAGAATCAAGAAAATCTAAGGCCTTTAGAGTTTGAATTTTCCTGTATTATAAATATTTCTGCATTAGAAGATAATTCTAAAGAACGAACAAATCAAATAATTGAAGTAATATCAGATATAGACGAATATAAATAGATGTAAGTTAAAGAATTATTTTGATTATAAAGTTTAATTTTAAATAATTTTATATTTAATAAATGATTTTAATTATTTAGATATCATCTGAAATATAATGTCAAAAAGTCAAATTCAATAACTTATATTTATTATTGTTCACAAAAGGATTGTTTGGCTGAGAAGCCAAAAAAACATATTGATGTTAATAAACACCGTAATAGACAATCAATTGAATGTTTTTCTTGTAAAGGACAAGCCACAATTATGATTTCTCAAGATTTTACCTTTGCTAATATTGAAATATATCATCATCTTCATTCACCTCACTTAGATAATTCAATTTCTTTAGAAATAAAACAGTATATTTTAGAAAATATTGATTTACTTCCACGTGAAATATATAGACATTTAGTAATGCAAGATTTAAGCATGAATATATACCAAAAACAAATTCATTTTTGGTGGACTGAACTTGGTAAAAAATGATATAAACATGATGATGATGTATTTATTTCAATGCAAAAATGGTTGATAGAAAATGCATATCAAATAATAATTCAAAAAAACTCACCTCAGGCACTAGGATTTTTAACTAGAATGTGGGAAATTATTAAAAGTTCTAATATTCAAATTGATGAAATTGGGGTTGATTCGACTTGTAAGTATATTATTTATTATTTACACTATTATAAAATAATGTATTATTATTATTTATTAAACTTACTATTTATTGTTAATAAAGATAATACAAATAATCTAAGATTTGAATTATATGTTGTTCATGCACAAGTTGATGGAAGCAGATATCCACTGGCATATTTATTTCTTGAAAATAATGGAAATTGTAATAATGGAATACGTACAGGTATTTTAGTTAACTTTTTTTATGAATTATATTTGCTTGGGCTTAATTCTGAATTTTTTTTGACGGACAAGGATTTTTCTCAAATATCAGCTGCTAAATTTGTATGGAAAAATATTAAAATTCAAATATGCCTTTGGCATATTAAAAGGGCCATTGAGACTAGACTTTCAAATAATACTAAACCAAAGCAAATCAATTATAATAGTCAAATAGCACATAATCAATTTCATTTTATTGATTCTAAATTTCGTCCATAACTTAATACTATGAATTATATTTTTTGCCCTAAGCAATTTCATGGAGCTATATGGGAGATAATAAATCGTCATTTACATTTACATCTTTTAATACCTACTAATAATAGTCGATATCTAACAGCACAAGAAATTTGGACAATATCTGTGCAAGAAATTTATAATTTTTGCTACCAACATTCATTAATATATCTTTGGGTATATTTATGAAATGAATGGTATAGTTCAGAATGCTGGAGCTTATAGTTACGTGCAGGTCATAGTACAAAAATTTTAATCTTTAAAACAAATATGTTTGTAGAGTCACACTGGAAGGTATTAAAGTGTAATTTTCTGTATAAATTTTTTCATCCATGTTTGGACTTAGTAGTTTATATTATTATGATGCAAGTAATTCCACAGCAACAAAGAAAATTTAAGCAAATTCTGATTGGTATTGAAAAAGCAGAATGGCGTAAAGCCTTCAAAAAAGAATGGAAGAAATTAGAAGCTTGTGTAATTCAAAATATCTATTTTACTAATATATTAAATTGGGTATGTGAATGTTCATTCTTTTTAACAAGCCGTTTCCTTATTTGTAAATATCTTGTACAACAAAAAAGAACTGTGCCGATTGAATTTTTTGATAGAGTTCATCGTTACCATCAATACCCATTTCTTAACACTTTGGCTATGCCAATTTCTTATAATACGATGAGTTCTGAAGTCATTGAAAGTGCTGAAGTTATTGAAAATATTGAAGCTATAGAGAATGCTAAAGTTATCAAAAATATTGAAGCTACTGAAAATGCTGAAGATATGCAAGATTCAGAGGAATTGTGTAATCGACTTATAAGCGCAACTAAGAAAACTCTTGAAATTCTTGAAGACCAACAAAGTAAAAAAAATTTTAAATAGATGAAAAACGTGAAAAAAAATTTTAAACCATTAGAAAAAATGGTAGATGAAATTAATTCATACAAACAAAGAAAAACAATGGCTCGAACATTTAAAGATCATTCGCATAATACATTATTTTTTAATTAAAAATTATGTATAGTATAAGTATATATATTTTAAATATATACTTTTGAAAGATATTAATAAAAGTTGCGCTTTTCTAAAATAAATAGCTTGGTATATATAAATTATTAAATCAAATAATCTAACTATATTGGTTTGACTTTACGTATATTGAAACTTGTATTAATTAATTGATCTATTTAAAATAAGTTATTAAATTAACTGCTTTATTTACATATTAATTTACAGCATTTTAATATTTTACTACTCTATTTTATTTATTACTTTATTTAATTTATTTATTTGCATTAATTAGTTTGTGGATATAATGGCTACAGTATCTTTTTTTACAGTACCTGAAAAATAGGAATAATCTAAATTAATATAAGTTAATTGACACTCTGGAATCCTTGATATAAATATTAAAAATAAATAAGATATTCAAGCTTAAAATACAGATGAAAAAAAAGACGATTATATTTTAGTAACGAGTTATGCAAAATATAGATCATTAAACAAAAATCTTGCTGATATCTTTAAGTTTGGATGGAAAATTAAATTACAGATACTTCATGATATTATATCTAATCTTAATCATATTCATTATAAAAGATATTTACATCAAGATTTACATCTGGAAAATATCTTGTTAAAAGAAGATTATGAAACATATATTATCAATCTAGGTTTATCAAAGCCGCTTGATGAGAAAGATCAAGATCATATTAATGGTGTCTTGCCTTACATTGCCCCAGAGCTATTTCAAAGAAAACCATACACTTAAACAGCTGATATTTAATATATCAATATGGGTTTGATCTTTATACTTTATGTTATCTATGATTATATTATAATCCTTTACTTTATTTTTAAAATTTTTTAATTATGTAAATTTTTGTATCTAATTTTATAAGTAATTCATTTATTGTGAAATTTGTATATTTAATAAATTGATCAATCATATTAAAATAAAAACTCATTAAAAAGTTAAAAAAAATATGATCGCAGCTTTCTTCTATAGATATCTAAATTTAAATGAAGACTACCTGACACTTACCTGATCAAATTAGATCAATTTTTTTTATTTTAATTCTATAGAATCTTAAAATTAAAATAAAAAAAAATTGATCGAATTTTATCAAGTAAGTGCCAAGTAATTTTTGTTTAAAGTTCGGATGTCTTTAATAAGAAACTGCGGCCAAATTTTTTTTAAATTTTAATGAATATTTCTCAACAACCAGCTATTCAAATTGATTGAATTTTTTTTTAGTTTAATTCTATAAATTCACAGAATTAAAATAAATAAAAAAACATCGAATTTGGATAGTTGGGTGGCAAGAAAGTTTCGGTTGAAGTTAAAGAAGAAAGAATTCACCTAATCTTAGTATTTTTTGATATTTTAAGCATTTTTAAAACTTATAGCGATGATTTCTTGACAACTACTAAATCAAATTAGATGAATTTTTTTTTATTTTAATTCTGCAAAGCATTAAAATTAAAATAAAAAAAAATTACCAAATTTGAACAAGTAGTTATTATGAAAACATCGCTAGAAGTTTTAAAAAAACTTCGATTTTATTAATAGGATCTTCAAATACGTATGTAACACAGATCACGTGGGGGCGAAATTTTTATGGCGATACTGGGTTAGATATTTTTATGGCGATACTGGGTTAGATCATATTATATTAACTAATCACGTGAAATGTCTATTTTAAATTATTAATGATCGTTTAACGCGACTTATAAAGTTTACATTCTCACTTCTTTATGTTTAGCGACCAGTTAATATGGCAGATAATAATTTACCATCATTAAAAGTAATCATAATTGTGTTATCAAATTATTTGCATTTTTTCAGATACCATTTTAATATCTGATATTGTCTTTTATCAATAGCGCAAATCATTGCAAGAAGACACGGTCTCTGAAAAAGTGTGTATACAATTTTTAATTTCAGTCACAAATACAAATATGTATAATGCATATATCTGATAGATATGCGTTACGCATAGGAAACTCTTGAGCGTCGTTTACAATTACTTCAAGAGCAACTCGATAAATTGCGAACTGAA